TTTCCACTCCACCCCAAAGTCCAAGTGGGGGAGAGTGATTAATGGGAGGTAGGCAGGGGACCATATTCTGCCTCCCACCAGAGTGTTTTTGGCCTCTGCCTTCCTCTTTACAGCAAGAGCTGTGCAGCTTCATAGCATTGGATTGTTCCCCCAATTTCCACCAGGGATGGGAAAACAAGCAAGAACCATGGTAGGAGGACTGCAGGGGAGATGTGGAAGGAAGCTAGGGAGAAATGGGGAAAGGGTCCATGCATTGCCTGCTCTAGTGTTCAGTAAGAGCAGAAAACTCCATCCTCTGCTGCATTTATTGGGATGGGGTGGGGAACAGGAATTGGTCCTAGATGAAATGAGGGTTCATCCAGTTTTAAAAAGATGAAATCAGTTGGGCTCTAAACTTGCCACCCCCTTTAGACTATTTAGTGGGAAGAGGGGTCATCTAGGGAACCCAGCATCCCTTAGGCTGAAAGGCAGCCCCTTTCTCTTTCTACCTTCAGAGGAGCCTAGAGGGAGGAGATTGAGTCCTGGGAGCAGGTAAGGAGGATGTGCTAAGCGGTGGTGGTTGGAAGAGGGCGGGAGTCCCTACCCCCATCCCCACCTCCCCTGCCTGGTGGCAACTCTACCACCAAAGTCCCCAGGTGCAATCCGGCTTCGGGAAACCAAAGTCCAGGCTAATGGAGTCCTGGGCCAGGGGCCAGGCTGCCATCGATCCCCCACCCGACCCACTCCCTCCCTCCCACCTCTCCATAGCTCCTGCTGCGGAGGAGGGAGAGAGGACATATTGGAGGAGGAGAAGGCCATGACTTCTAGCACTTACCTCCTGAAGATGGAGACTGACTTGGGAGGGCAGGGCCCGTGTGGGAGCTGGGATGCCCAAGTAACCGACAACCAAAGGACGTTGGGGTCCTCGGTGTCTGCACCCGGACCTGTGGACTCTGGCCCTGGAGTCTGGAGGTGGGTGCAGTTGGAAGACAGGCACACATGAATGTGGAGGGTCGCCTGAGGATGCAATTAGAGCTGTAGGAAATGCGTGTAAATAAGAGGAAGGGAGACGAATGGTGATCAGTGGGCTCTGTATAGCCCCATCTTACACCAAAATATTCACCTTAAGTTCTGTTATTGCCTCTAAGTTTGCTATCATTCCCCCTTCAAAGAGTTAGCCATACTAGAAAGGACTGGGCAGGGATGCTTTCAGGGTGGATGAGTCAGCTGATGAGGAACGCTGTTCCACTGGTAGGAAGATTTGGTGCCTTGGAATGAGGAGCTGTGGAACAGAAAGGTGGGCATATCCAGGACAGACAGGGATTCTGTGGGTGAGGTGCAGCCTTAGGTATCTGGGTGCCATGGGCACATACATCACAATATGATAACGGGTCTGTGACATTGTGACCTTGATATGTGGCATAATATTATAAGGTCTTAGTGTGTCGTTAACACATTGTGTCATGATGTCCCTGGGTCATTGTTGTTTTGTGTGGTTTGATCATGCTGTGTGTAAGGTGGCCTGTAGAGGTCCTCATGTATATGTTTTCCTAGGTCACATTTGTTTATGTTTGTATTAAGGAATTTTAGGTCAGTGTGTGTGTGTGTGTGTGTGTGTGTGTGTGTGTTGAAGCCTGCTTAATTAGGCCATTGGGTGTGAGTTACTGGTTATCAGGTTGTCACTGTATGGCATCCATTACTCCGTGATTTATCATTCTTTGTGTCACTATACATGCCTGTCTGAATGTGTGTGTGAGAGAGAGGAGTTCCTACCACAGGCAATCCTTGGGTTGGACATCACCCTCAGAGGTCAGC